TTCGAACTGCCGCCCTCCGCCACCGTCCTGCACGTGAAGGAGCTCATCGCGGCCGAGACGGCCTTCCCGGCGGCCGAGCAGGAGCTGAGGCACCGCAGCAAGGAGGTAAAGTGTGTCCACGTGCCCTCCATTCGTGTCCCTTCTGATCCCCGCCGACCACGCGCGGGCCCCCCCTCCCCCGCAGTGGCACCCCGCGGCCCTTTGATGTAGGTGCAGGATCTTTAACGTCCTAACCAGCTCACAGAGAAAGTAGATGTCTTCGTGCATTTTCACTGCCATTGAGGGCCAGAGCTCCGATGGATGCTTGACCTCGGAAAAACTGCTTTGTAAAGAAAAACGTGCATAAAATGGATACAACCATCAGTACCACCAGGCGTCCTTTCCCTTGATTTTCCACCATCACACCCTTCACGTTCTGAAATGGAGCGCCACTCGCTTATTTGAATTTTCACTTCCTGGAACAGAGGGAATTTTATGATGGGTATCAAGAGTCAGGGACCAAGCCACAGCACTGCCATGAGTCAGTGCGGACTCATAAGACCTAGTTAAGGTTTCTGAGTCTGTGAATCTTTATGGGAGCCGACAGCCTCATCTTTCTCCCCATTATAATAGCCAGAAGATTTCTTTATTCTCTCTGTCTGTCTGTCTCTGTCTCTGTCTCCCTCTCCCAACAGCCCAGTGACTGAATCACTCATACTTTTCTAGTTGCTTTGTGCACTTCAGTGGCTTACCAGTAAATGGCTGCAGCTTTCTTGGCTTTCCTGGTGGCTCAGTGGTGCAGTGCTTGGATGCAGTGTGAACTCACCTTGTTCTGCAGGGAGAAAGAGTGGCACTCTGCTTCCCCACAGATGGCCCCTGGAAAGCCCTGCAGGCAGTTCTCCTCTGTCCTACAGGGTTGTTATGAGTTGGAATCTGCTCAACAGCAAAAGGCTTTTTTTTTGGGTTTGTTCTCATTATGGAGTCTAAAGGAGCCCTGGTGGCATAGTGGTTATGCATCTGGCTGCTAAGGGCAAGGTCAGCAGTTCGAAACCACCAGCTGTTCCATGGGAGAAAGAGGGGGCGTTCTACTCCTGTAAAGAGTTAACAGTCTGGGAAACCCACAGGGGTGGTTCTACCCTGTCCCATGGGGCCCCTGTGAGTCTGAATCAACTCCATGTCAGTGAGGTTTTTTGCTTATTAAATGGAATCACAGAGCTTTAGGCCTGGGAGGATCTTTGGACATACTTTAACGGATGTCTTGTTATTTTTGAGGGGTGAAATTATATTAAGGACACTGTAGCATCAGTTAAGGATCCCTGGCGGCATAATGAGTTCCTCGTTGGGCTGCCACCCACAAGGCCCGCCATTCAAAACCTCCAGCTGCACTGGAGGCTTCCCCGTCCTCCAGAGAGTTCCTCTGGGAAACTCACAGGGGCGGTTCTACCTGTCCTGCGGGGTTGTTCTGAGTCAGCATCGACTTGATGGCCATGAGTTTGGTTTTGCTTCATGTTGTCCAGCTGACAGAGGGACATGAAAGCATGCGGATAGTGCACGTAGCTGAGAGGTAAGTGGCCCCAGAGACCACGTTACTTCAGGTGTCTCCAGCCTGTTTTCCCATGCCCAACATGAATGGGATAGAACTGACTCTAGGCGTTTCTAAGGCTTCTTTCTACCAGGCAAGCATCGAGTCTCGGTGGGCAGTGTCCAGTCTGAGGGCAAAGCTCAAGGGAGAGAGAGGTCGGGGCTGGAGAGGGCATTCTGAGGAGTAACGGTGGTGCAGTGGATTAAGCTACGCTACTTTGGACCCACCAGCCCATTCTGAAGGAGATGAGGCAATCTGAGATGGGAAAGATGTACAACCCGGGCCCGTGGGGCAGTTCCGCTCTGCTCTGTGGGGCTCTGGGAGTGGGAATCTACTGGAAACCAGCTGGTCTTTACCTGGGGGAACCTGGTTCTCCTCCTGTGCTTTGATGAAATGTGTTGGAACCATACTATTTACTCACAGGGGCGGCCCCATAGCACGGGGTAGAACTGGCCCTGTGGGTTTCCCAGACTGTTAACTCTTTACTGAAGTAGAAAACCTCGCCTTTCTCCTGTGGAGTGGCTGGTGGTTTTTGAACTGCTGACCTTACTGTTAGCAACCCGACGCATAACCACTAAGCCACCAAGTCTCCATAATGGGGAACCAAAAAAAAAGAAAGAAGGAAAGAAAGAAAGCCTCTTGCTGTTCACAGCTGTTGCCTCCCCCCTCCCCCCATGCCCCCCAGACTTCACATATAGTGTGTCCATTTATTCCCAGAAAACGCTCAGAAGTTTAGAATTACACATAGTACATCATTGAACCCTCTCAGGGCTCATTATTACTGGCCCACTTTGCAGACGGCTACAAGCAAGACTCAGACTCCCAAGTATTGATCCGAACCTGGGTCTACTCCTGCACTCCGCAGAGGCCCTCGAAACTCAAGCTCAATGCCGTCAAGGCGATGCTGACTCATAGGGACCCTTTAGAACAGGGAGGAACTGCCCCCTGTTGGTTTCCTAGGGGAAGTCACAAAGTCAAGTGTAGGGCCTGGCCAGAACGCAGGAGAGGGCCGCCCTCTCCATCCCAAGAGAGCAGGTTCCACAGCTGCTCAGGACTGGGCATCTCCGCAGAAGCGGTTCTCTTGTCCTTTGTCTCTTGCAGGATCCACCCTAGGGGGGAGAGGAGGAGGCTGTCTCCACCTATCAAGATTTCCGGCCTCCGAAGCCCACAGAGGCGGTTCTACCCCGTCCTGTGGGGTTACTGAGTCAGACTCAAGGGCAGTGGGGTTACTGAGTTAGACTCAACTTAAGGGCAGTGAGAACCTCCGAGTTGATTTTTATTGTTATTTTATGTGAGGGTCCCAGACATCCCAGAGCAGGCAGGCAGGCAAGCAACGCTGTCACCAAATCCTGCCAGATGCTGGCTCTTTGCTGGCGTTGGGCGCGGTCCCCCGGAAGCGCATCCTTACCCCCAGGGTTTCTGGGTCACCACTTCTGGGTCTGGGGCTCTCACTGGCCTGGAAGCAGGGGCTGCTAGCTCTTCACGTTGCCCCCCCCCCATCCTGGTGGAGCCTCTGGGCATCTTCCTCCTCCCTGGCCCTCTGTAGCCAAGGCACCAGCTGTCTCAAACCAGGAGGTTGGGAGAATGGCTGACTTATCTGTCCCTTCAATTGGTCATAGATGCTCCCCGCACCACCCCGGGCTGAGTTTGGCTCTATCAGCTGAGTCAAGGGGCAAGTGTTGGGGTGTAGACTGCCACAGGTACCAATTTTTGTGTGTGTGGTGGGGGTGGAGTTGTGTTTTTTAGCAAATGCAGGTGAGCGTGTTTCAGGTCTAGCAGGGAGGCTGGGGCTGGTGGATGGAGACAGGTGCTCAAACGATTTTAGCCTCATCCTGTTTACAAACAAGATGAACTGAAGTCGACAACCTTGGGGGGCTCTCACTGGGTTGCAGGGAATCTGGGAGCAAGTAGGACTAAAGTGACTTTGCCGTGTTGGAACGATAGGGAACCTGGACAACGTCCGGAGGAGGGAACAGGGAGCCGACAGCTCCGCTGAGCTGCTGGTCCCTTGACTAGCACTTGGCTGAACACAGCCCCCGCCACAACACCCCCCCCCCTGCCCCCCATAGCCATCTGCCGGCACCATGAGTTGTCCAAGACAGAAGCTACATCTAGTTTTCCAGACGGGCCTCTGCTTGGTCTTCTTCCCTCGAAGGCCTGGAAGCCATTCCCTGCAGTAAAGAGGACCCTCCTACCTGCCCCTCAGCTTGCCTGCCTTGAATATCAATGCCGACTCATGGCCATCTTATAGGACAGAGGAGAGCTGCCCCTGTGGGTTTCCCAGACTATAACTCTACAGGAGTAGAAAGCCTCTTCTTTCTCCCACGGAGCTGGTCTGGGGTTTTGAACCGCTGGCCTTGTGGTTAGCCGCACAACCCATAACCACTTTGTCACCAGGGACCCTGCAGCTGTGCACTAGTAGACTCATATTCCTTGTCTTTTAGTGATCTAGGTCACTGGCTGTTTTAATTTATATGTATAATAGATGATTGATGATAAGTATAAGTGTGATTTCATCAATGTCCG